CCAGAATGATCTCTGCACCTAGGCAGCACAACAGGAGGAGAACAGGGGACAAAAGAATGGGGTCCTGCATCCAACAAATGCCTTCTGTTGCAAGGCACAAGGGCTTGGTGTCCTCTCATCCCTCCCAGCCCAGGCAGTGCCTTTCTCCTCTGCCCACATCACACACACTGCACCATCATGGGGATCAAAAGGCTTTGGACTCCAGGATTTCCCCCCAAATCAATGACTACAGGGCAATGAAAATAAGTACTTCGATATACTCATTCTGTCCTTTTATTTCAACAAAAGCAACCATCAAACCACTTCTAACTTAGCAAAAGCTACAACTCAAAGGACTAAGGAACATATTCCAGAGGAACACCTTCCTGACATAGTGTAGAATAATACCATCTATCAAAACAAAAAACGGCCTCCTAAGAACTTTCCTAAGAGATTTCTTCTTCTTCCTAGGACTTTTCTCACCTCTACTCCAAGCTTTTAGAATTCTTAACATAATCCCCTGGCTTCTTTCACTTCCTGGAGTGAACCTCGATGTGTAATTTATTAATGAAAGAGGAAGAGAAGGCATGAGATGGCCTTCACCCTACTGGCAGGGAGCATTACAAATTACTACATTGTATTTCACATAAAAAAACAACTTTATTAACACTCCTGTTTATTATCCTCATGTTCCTGGTATGAACATGGGCACACATGGGAAGGAGCGTGAGGCACTCACCTCTCCCTCGGTGCTCCAGCTCAGGTGTCTTCTGGCCACGCTGCAGACAGCACTGGGTACACTCCAGACAGTCCTGGGTCCCTTGGAGCCAGAGTCCTCCTCGGGTGGTGACACTGACAGGCGTGGCTCAGCTTCTGTCCCTAAAGAGACTAACCCTAACACTAACCCTAACAACTAAGCCTTACGCGAATATGAGAAATAACACTATGCCTAACGCTAAAACTAAGCCTAACCTTAATGCTAATCCTAAGCCTAAACCTAACCCTAAGCGTAACCGTAACCTTAGACTGCAGGGAGCTTCCAGCAGGCTTGGGGAGGGGCTGTGGGGGCAGCGCTCTGGACCCAGGCCTGGAGTCGAGGCCTCTGCCCTGCTCTGAGGGGCTCTGCTGGGCAGGGCTGGGCCTTGGCCTGTAGCATGCCTGGCAGCTGCCAGGGCTCGAGATGTGCTGGGCAGGTCCCCACATGCCTCTTCTTCCCGCGGCATGTCGGGCTGCCCCAGGAGCTGTGGGTAGCAGGGGTTCACCCAGATGGTGCAGATAGTGATGGCCCTGCTGCCTGGCTCGTCTGACAGCTCCTCACTCGTCCCGGCATCCCCTGTGGCAGCTGCTTGATCTCTGGTTTGGGGAGTAAGCTCTAAGTGTCCTGTGCCTTTGCATGGCACCAGAGGTTTTGGTTCCTCCTCACAGGACACATAGGCACTCTCCTCCCTGCTGCTGCTGCTGCCACCCTGGACATCCTCTGAGCTGTCCCCCTCTTCGCTGGGCAGCCCTGCCAGGAGGATCTTTGCTTCTGCCATTGCCCACTGCCTGCAAGCTTCCACCTGGCTTGGGGAGGGGCTGGGGGGCAAGAGACCCAGAATTGTTTCACGACTGGAGTGCTCTGTGCAGCTGTGAGAGGCTCTGCTGGGCAGAGCTGAGGCTTGCCCTGAGGCTGTGCATGGGGGAACGTTGCTGCGCTCTACCCCGGCCTCGCCATGCCTCACAGAGGGCCTCACTTCTCTGCTTCTGCAGCTCTGATCTGGGTCCTGTTGCCCCTGGGACAGCTCTTTGGGGCTGCTCGCTTCCCAGGCCGCCTCCTCACCATCTGGTGTTGACAGGACAGCCCCCAGTGCTGCCCCTGCCCCCGGCCCACGGAGAGCTTCCAGCGGGGTGGGCGAGGCTGTGGGGGGACAGCTGGGGCCGTGCGGGGAAGCCGCCCGGCTCTGTGGCCCTGCTGCGGGGGCTATCGCTACTGCCACTGCCTCCATGCCCTGATCCCCGTGCCGCTGTGTCCCCAGCTGCCGGCTGCGTCGCCGGATCACAGCCGCCACCCTGCTGAGGATGGCACGGGAGCCGCGGCGCAGCGAGTGCAGCAGAGCCTGGCCGCGGGCCCTGCGGCTGTGCAGGGCCGCTGCCCGGCTCTCTGCTGCCGCCGCCTGCGCGCCAGGGCCAGCACAGGAGTCACGCTGCTCCTCGGCCTCCTGAGGTGCTGCCCCATCCCTCACCCCCTGCCTCCGGCGAAACACCAGCCACTTCTGCTTGGGCTTCGTGTCGGTGCTCGTCTCCTTGTCCGTGGACATCTTGGAGTCGCTCCGACACTGCCGTCCCCTGGGAAGATGCTGGCTCCTGATGGAGCTGCTCTCCTGGGAGTGGCACCCCCGGGCTCTTTGCCTTTTTTACTGTCCCGGTCAGGGCGCGGTCCAAACGTCACAATGGGCTCTGGACACACGCAAGCCTCACGTCACAAAGGGGAGCACGGTCTGGGGCGGGGGGGGGGGGGGGTCGGAGGGGAGGGTCCCAAGTGTCTCCAAGGGCTCTGGGCACAGACAAGGAGTACAAGGAGTCCATCTCTCTCACTTTATCACGCAGAGTAATACACAAGACAGCTCACAAGGTTCATGAGGCAAAAGAAAAGAATCTGCTCATGAGCTATTGGAACAGAATTTTGAAACAAAAGAGACCAAAGACGCATGATGGCCTGGACTGCTTCAGTGTCTCTTTGGCTTTAGTTGAATTCAAAAGATTTCCTTCCTAATGTGATTGGAAGTCCTACACTGCAAACCCTTTTAAGTCTGCCTTTGCCTTGTTGTATCTTTCTCTAAGAATACCACATTTGGTTCATCTCTTGAAAGGTAGAAACTGCTCAAATGCTGCTCTGAATTGCTGTGATGTCTGGGCTGTAGCTGGGTTTCGATGTGATTCTGGTCAGGATCCCCTTAGGATCAGTTTTGTCGTGATATGAACTGATGCAGTAAGCTTGACTTAAGAGCGGCACAGTCTAACAGAGTCAGTCTTTGAATGCTTCTGAATATTTCCCCTCCCTATCTGCTGCTTTTCTTTGCAAAGCTGCAGGTCCAGGGCCTTGAGGCAAAGCCCAGTGTGCAAATTCCTGCCGCCATTCTTGCCTTCCTGCAGGACACTGACAGAACGTGGTTGTTTCTGTTATAGGGTAGTTTCCCCAGGCTGGATGGCCTGGGCTTGGTCTACAAGGAAAAATATGGGTGTTTACAGCCCCTGGACATTAAGAAACAAAGACAAATGAAACCAAGCCCTGCTGCCGCCCGCACTCTCAGCAGGCCCCTCCATTCCCGCCTCCTGCCCTGAGGGCCGTGGGGGCAGGACAACGTCCTGAGGGCAGCGCCGGGATCGTGTGGCCAGAGCCTGGATCCTGTGGGCAGAGCCTGGATCCTGACTGCATTGCCCGGATCGTCTGGGCCGAGTTTGGATTCTGAGGGCCGCTCCTGGATGCTGTGGGCAGAGCCTGGGTTGTGTGGGCCGCGCCTGGATCCCATAGGCATCACCAGGATCCTGAGGGCAGTGCCCAGATCAATCAGGTAGCACCCAGATCCTGAGGGCAGCTTTTGGATTGTGTGGGCAGTGCCTGGAAACTGACAGCAGCTCTTAGATCCTGAAGGCAGCACTTGGATGCTGACGGCAGCACTCGGATCCTGTGGGCATGTGAGAGTCTGTCCTAATTTTCCCTCATCTGCCTCACGATCGTCCTTGGGAGACCACTGAAGAGAAGACCCTCCCCGGTCTATATCTGGCTCTGAAGGAGAAAAGTCACACACCACGGGCCTGAGACCTGAAAGCTCAGTGTTGAGCTATTGTTTTCACAGGAGTGTTTGCTGTATGCTAAGAAGAGGGTGCCATGCCCCGTTTGCAGCAATAGCAGCTTTGGAAGCTGTCCCACCTCTCGGCCTGGCTGGACTTCTCCTGAGTTTCAGGTGGTCTCCCACAGAAGACCCTCACCTGTTTTACAGCACCGTAACAGACAGACTGAGATGTAAGAAGATTCTCCATCAAGGACTGAGACATAAAACTCCTAAAAGGCCCCTCTGCTCCTTCCAAGGACTGGGACTGAAACCCCCAGCCCGGGGGAGGCAAGCTGACTGAAACGAGATGTTTGCCTGCAGGTTGTGACCACTGGACCAAGAAAACAATGGCTCTCATTTACTGCTGAGAACATAACTACCTGTTACATCTATCAAGCTCATTTACTGCTGAGAACATAGATTACCTGTTACATCTGTTCCCTATTGTATCTGTTTCCCCCCCCCTCACAATTTTCAGTAATAAAAACCTCTGAGTTAGCTAGAGCCTTTGAGATCTCTGCAGCGTAGCAGGCGGACCCTCGGCTGGACTGCATCAAAGGACTTCGTCTCTGCGTTGGTAGCTATATCCCCTCTCCCTCCTGCTCTCTCTCTCTTCTGTCTCTTTCTCTATCTTTTCCTCTCCCTTAATCCCTCTATCGCATTTTTTGCTGTGGTTATTTCAATAAAATTGCATTTGATTTGATTATCACTGCAAACCCCCTTGTACCGTGTTGGTGGTTTGCACTCTGAGATCATTCCTACGAACCATCAGGTCATCTGTCCACTAGGACGGACCCTGACAGGGCACCTCCTGTTTCCCTCCCAAAACTCACCCTCTATCCACAGTTCTGGAACACAGTGACTTCTCCAATCTATAAAACTAGTGAGAAAACACATAACGGCATGTGATTGTCTAAAGTTCAAATTCCTGCCAGAGTAGATGAATGGCAAAAGCATCACCCACCTTCCCTCAGCCCAGGCCAGGTCCGACATCCTGGGGTAGCCAGCCAGCTTCCTGAGGGGGTGTTTCCCCCTCCAGAAGGGGTCGTGCTCCAGAAGAACATGCCAGCTGTGCCCCGGCTTGCAGGGACATCACGATGCCATTGAGCTGCAGGGGGATGTTTCCCCTGTCCCAGTCCATGGCACCTTCACCGCACTGCCACCACTTCTCCAATGGGATGGGCAGCATGGAGCCACTCCCTCCACAGCTCACAGGGACCAGCGGAAGCATCTCTCCAGCTGCGCTCTCTCCTCCGTGCCACAGCCACAGGGAAACGCTCCGGGGTTTTCTTCCAGCGCCACAAGACTCGTGCCGGTGCTACTTGCTGGCTCCTGGATCCTACTGTGCACAGGGATGCATCTCTGCTGTCTCCTGGGCCAGGCAGGGCTCCTGTAGCCAAGAATGCTCCAAAAGTCTTCCAGTGATGGCCTGTCTGTGGGGTCCATGCATCAACACCACCTGATGATGTGCTGGCACTCTGTGGAGAGAAACCAGAAACCGCTGCTCAGCGAGACAAGGCTCCTGTCCATGCTCTCCCACATTCCACAATGCCCAGGCCACCAGGAGTGCTCGGAGCTGCACCCAAAAGCATGAAGACCAAGGGCCTCCAAGGCGCACGCCCAGCCAGGTCATTTCCAAACCTAGGGGTAACTCTTCTCCTTGTGTGGGTATGCATGCATGTGTGTGTGTCAAAAAAGTGAGAAAAATTAGAGTCAGAAGACTGTCCTTGAGAATCTGACATTTCTTGAATGGCAAGATGCTCTTTCAGGCCAGAAAGCTGCAGGGGCAGGGGGTTTCCTAGTTCCTGCTCCTCATTGCTGCAAGCAAGACAATGCCAGCATCAACTTGTCTTTGATGAGGCCTTCGGATTGCTTGGACCAAGCAGTCCAGGCAGGCAACAGGAGGTCAAGCCAGAGCCTGACCATGATTAAAGCTCGCCTGACTTCACGCTTGATATTGCACCAGCCAAAGACCTGGCCCACACTTTTACAAAAGGAGCCGACACCATGCTTACCCTCATCCCAGTTCTTCAAATGCTGTGTATTTGCCTATGGGCTGGCCCACACTCACAATGCTACCTGAAAGACAAAAGGAGTGCAGGGCACTCACTGGCATACAGAGATGCTGCTGCCCAGAGCCTCCCAAAGGCAGCCCCGCTGCCAGCAGTTCTGGGCCCTTTGTGGTCCCTTGGCTTCCAGCTGCTGAGACCAGCAAGTGGGAGGGCCATCTTCTCCACCTTTCATCATGTGGCCTTTCCAAGAAGGCCTTGATTTCATTCAAGCACACCATCCCATGCCATAAGCCAAAATGAGAAGCCCTTAAGAAGGGGGCCCTAAGAGGTAACCAAGGGCCTTTGCAGCCTCTGCAGTCACAGCCACCATCACTGGCAGGTCCACTGCCAGGGGCACAAAGTGTCTGAGCCAGAGGAGGAGTAAGAACGGGAGCCCGAAAACAGCTGGGGCCAGAGAGCTCCCTGGGGCCTAGTCACTTGCTAGGTGCCAGCCTTCTGCTCAAGCAGAAACAATCTCTGCTTTTGTCTTTGGCACAGAAGGCAGCCCAGGCAGAGCCAAGCCAGGCCCAGCCACCCTCACCAGCAGCAGGAACTCCCTGAGTGCTGCTGCGCTGCCTCAAAGCACAACAACAGGTTCTGCAGAGAGGCCTAAGTGCCTCTGAGACCGAAGGGCAGCTTCTGGCGCAGCCTACACCCAGACACGCACACAACACACTGCTCTGGTAGACAAGAAATGCACCCGACTTACTCAGTGTCCTCAGGCCCTGCTCCTCCCTCATCTCAGGCTGCTGGGCTGCGCTGCTGCAGGCAGTACCAGCAGCGGGGGCGAGCTAGCTGCTGCAGGCCACGCTGCTCCGGTGGCACCAGGTTGAATTGCAGAGCCTGTGTTGAGCTGGGACAAGGAAGGATTGCCCATCAGAAGGGCGGATTGCACACATGCCCCGCGCAGTGCACGGCCAGAGCAAGGCCTTGGCAAGGTGCTGTCAGCCACCGCCAGGCCTCTCCAGCTGGGGCATTTTCCATGTCTCCTTCTCAAAGGCAACTTTGGGAAAAGCCCAAAGGCTGCTTGGATCCAGCCCCTCACGGCCACCTCCATGTTCCATGTTTGCAGCTTTTCTGCAAGACACTGGCAACAAGGTAGCCATGGGGCTGCCAAGATCCAAAGAGATCAGAGCAGGGCCCTAGAGCCTCGTTGATTTCCTCCTCCTGTCTTTCCCTGGGCAATGAAATCAGCCCGGAGCTGGCATGCAATGGTCTGCTCAGAAGCCCACAGCGTGTCCCTTCTCTGATCTGTTTCACGGATTTCCCCTCTCCATGACAGCCTTTAGGGAGCGGCCCTTGGGACATGCCTTCCAGCCCTACCCAGACCCACCCGCCCTTTACAATGCAGGGCTGCCAAGCATTCTCCTCTCCAAACTCTGTTCTGAGCAGCTGGAAGCGAAGCACAGCCTGAAGCTAATTAGTCCATGGAGAGGGCAAGTCCCTTCCAGGGGTCAGTGTCTCCCTGGTTCCCTGCAAGGCTGTCAACTGCGTCTTTGGGCCACTCTGTCTGCTGACCACAGGCAGCCTGCACTGACAATGGGCACAAGGGGCTGACTCCTACACTGAGAATCATTGAATGCTGCCTCCTGTCTGATCCCAAGAGACATTCTCGGGCCCTCTCAGCATCCCAGCTTAAATGTACAACTTCAGAACCCATTGGCCAGGGCTGCCTGGCTTGCCTGAAGCAGCACTATGTCACAGCAGGCACACAGCCGCCAGCATCTTCAGCCACCAGCAACAAGGGCTGCTCCAAAACTGGAAGCCTGGCCCTGCACCAAAGGCAGTTACAAGTTCAGCTGCCACTTACTGGCTCTGCACATTCAGGCTGTGGAGGGACAGCAGCTGGAGGCTTGATGTTCCTTTGCTCCTCTTCAGCCTCTTCCTCAATGACAGAGCCAGGCAGAGGAGCTGCTGACCCTGCTGTTGAGCCCTGCAGACAGACAGAAGTGAGAGAGATGGGCAAAAGCCAGTCCCTTAGCAGCTGCTCTCTATTGAGCTGGGAAAGGACCCAGAAGAAGGGCAAATCAAGACTTTGATACAAATGGCACTCTGAGGCATGAAAACCCGAGGAAGTTGGCTGAATGAGGTGCTACTCCATCTTGCTGTGCATTCGAGCTTCCCTGCTGCCTAGAAGCAACAAGATGCCTTGGAGCTGTCCCATTTACCTTTCATCTCTTGAAAGGCTCTTCACTGGAAAATCAGCAAACAGCCAGTGCTCCCTTTGCTGTTGATGATGCCACCGGGCAGTTGGCCTTTCTTTCAGCCTCCCACGCTGGCACTCCACACTCGACTGCAACAGGCCAAGCTGGCAGAATTGCCACACAATTCTCACATGCCAGCAACGTCACAGCTTCCTTTGCCACTCACCAAAGGACAGGCTTGCCTTCATCCACGTGTCAGGTGACCTGCAGCGAGCAAGGCAAAAGGAACCAGAGGCCCTTAGAAAAGTGGCCGTGCTGGCCACTTGCACAGCACAAGGCAGTCCCAAGACAAAGCATTTCCCTTTCCCAGCATGCCTCCCGGAGCAACAGCTCTTTCCCACAGCAAACAAGAGAACAACAAGGGTGCTATAGTAGGCTCTGTCTACATTTGGGCCTCTTTTGCCAAGAGAGAAATAGAAACATGGTGGTGGAAATGCCCCTTGCTCTTCAACACTCTGAGCTTCTGTTGTGCCCAGCAGCACAACCAGCATTTTCCTCTTCTCTTTCCTGCATTTTAGATAGATATTCTTTTAAATGGCATGCCCTAATTCCCATCCCTAGGCTGAAGATGATAGCCCAGCAAAGCTTCCACAAAGGGCCCCTTCCCTGTGGCAGCTCCCTGCTGAAGCAGCTCAGGAACAGCTGCTGGGCTCAGCAGCAAACCCTCCCTGCACTGGACTTTGTGCTGCATGGCCAAGGGAATCGCAGTCTTGGCACACCATCAAAGGGTCAAGTCACGCAGCCAAGGCCTCTAAGGGGCAGAATTTGGAGCGAAAGGTGCTTTCCTTCACTCCTGGAGACAACCACTGAGTTGCTAGAAGTACTTCTGAGGATCTCCCCTCAGAGTCTGCAATTTGTAGCTTGTCTTGCTTGAAGCAGCAAGCGGAGGAAATGACAGACTCCGCTGCCGTGCACTCTCTCGGGGAGGGAAGGCAACCGCTGCAGGTTGCACGGCAAATACTCTGCACCCGCCACCCAGTATAGAGATGTCCCCTTTTTAGCTGATGCTGCTGGCAGGACATTGACCAAAGTGGCGGCATGTTCATGGCCATTTTGTTCCCAAATAAACTGGGCCACTGGTGTGGTATAAAGAGCAGAGTGAAGCAAAAGCCAGGTGATGCCAGCCCCATGAGAAACCTTTACTTACGAGTCAGCTGGGTCAGGTAGTAGCCAGAATAGACAAGAGAAAAGACCGTGCAAACCGAGGCACAGACCTGCCCGATCATTTTGGCAGCACTGTGCGGGTTTGCACACTGAATGCCACCCAAGGGAAGGCCCAGACTCCTCTCGGGGTGCAGGCCGTCTGCTGAGAACTCCTTGAGCACAAGGATCCTCCTGCAGGAAGCGAGTGGAAGAGCCGCTCTGAACAAGCAGGCCTTGCGCGCACCGGGACAACGCTGTGCTGCCAGCACTGTGACATGACACCTCTGGCTTGACCTCACAATAGCAGCTGCTCTGTGGCTTTCTTGTGCCCAGCAAGCCAACCTTCTGTACAGCTGATGCCACAGAAAAGCCTGGCAAGTTCTCCTCACTCATAAAGCAGCAGAAAATGTCCTCCCAGTCCATAAGGCAGTGCTCAAGGCATCCCAGGGGAACTCAGAAAATGCGCCAAGCCAAGCGACATCCAAGGAATCCAAGCAAACATGCCCTTTGCTCCCAAAAGCTTTGCCTGAAAGCAAGGCTGCTTCTTCTAGGTGGCATCGAAGCTGGTTCTGAAAAGTCTCACTTCTTCAGTGTCATTTAGGGGGAAAAAGAAGCAAAGATAATAAATTGCCAGGAGTATTTTAGGCTGCAGTCTCTTCTTGAGCACGTGCGTGCATGCTGTCCTTTGTTCTGACTCGCTTTGGAGGCTGCCCTCTCTTTGTGTCAGGGACAGGCTGGCTTAGGTCTTGACGCAGAGCTCCTGTGGTCCTGCTTGCTATTTCTCTGGCAACTGAAAGTCTCAGAACATCCCAAAGAGACGTGTGCTGATTCTTGGGCTGCCACACTTTCGTTGTGTCGGAGCTCTGGCAGCAGCCTGCAGCTCGCTGCTCTGCAATGGCCTGCAGGTGTCGAGCCCAAAGGAGCACCCTTTGGAACAGTGCAAAGCTGCAGTGGGACAGATGTTTGCGCAAGCTCCATGCTCCCTGTAAGGTTCCCTGCAGAAATTTGGATAGCTGCATCCCAGTACAAATGAGATGCCGTCACTCCCTTCTCTGTCAAAATCTTGAGGCAGACCCAGGAGGCATCTTGAAATTTTTGGAACAAAATCCTGGGTGGGAGGGGGAATAAAGTGCATGCAACTCCTCTGCAAATCAGCTCTGTTCACCCGTGGAATCATGAGCCTTGGCTTAGCTTTCTTTTGTGGTGACTCAGCACAGACATGTCATCTGATATTCCACAGGACCGTGTCTTTGAGGAGCTTTAGAATGGGCCCATCAGACTTTGGATTTATAGGATTAGATTGCATTTCCGCCATGTGGAAGATCTGAAGAGCACATGTGAGTAGGAAATAGGTTTGCCTTACCATCCCAGGACATGTCAGCTACTTTTTATTTTAAGGAGATTTTTCACAAGTAGTGGTGACTTGAAGACATCCCTGGATTTGATTGCCCATTCTGAGTCACAGTATTGCAGGTTGACTTTTTAACCCAACACTTTCAAAACCAGGGATTACCCAAATGGATTTTCTCAAACTTCTACAAATTTACCTCTGCTTTGTGAGCAAAGTTTCCTTACAGCTTTTTGATCAACTCACAGATCTTCTCATTTCCCCTACTTTGGCCTTAAGCACCAATGCACCTCTTTTTGAAATGCAGCTAAAATGCAACTGTTTCTGCTACTTTGTGTAACTTTTCTTGCATGAGATGGAAATAGTCAGTTGTGCTATGCTTTATAGTATACTTCATAATTGTAGGACTGAAAACAGACCACAGGAACTTCTCCCAGCATTAGAAAGTATGTAGAATAGCATTTTAAAGATGTCCTGACAATATTCATTGTATGCTTTATATGTAACTTTATTAAATTTATACTTCAGAGTAAATGTTACCTTGCAGGATTTCAGCTCAATTACAGGAATTGATATCCAGCAGTCTAATTTTCCTGTAAGACTGGACAGGGAAACTAATAATTTAGGAAAATGTGTTTTCCACATAAATGTGCAGTACTGTCCCGTCTGGCTTATTCTTAAAATGGCTCCATCTCGTTGACTGAGCCCACAAGAAACTTAGTTTTTCTTGAAAAGAAAGTAATCTGATCCATTAAATTACAAAATGGCATCTGAAATGCCACTCCAAGGTACTGTGTACTTCTAGGACCAACAGCTCCAGGGTAGATCCCTGCTGTGGATGCATCCCTCAGAATTAAAATCAAGCATCCTTGTGAATCTCGAGTTTGATTCAGAGATATTATGGTCAAAAGTCATACCTTGAAACACAGCTCCCATCAGTTTCAAAATAAAATAAAATTCTTCTATATATGTGCAATTTAGAGATGAGGAGGAAGGGAGGGAATGTACTGGAAGATTCTGAGAGGAGGAAAAAAATATTATAAAACTACTCATCCTTGTTCATTATTCCACCTGAGTGAACTCCTTGCTGTTCAATTATTAGAGTTAAATTACAAAATGATCAGCTACTGTATTAAAGTTTAAAGGGTTAACTTAAGAGTTATGTTCCCTCCTTCCCATACCACTGCTCTGGGGATGGGGCACATTGTCACTCATTTCTAATAGAGTAGAGGAATATATTACTTCAAGTGAATTCTGTCCAAGAACACAATGTGAGCTATTCTAAGTAGTAATTAAAGTTGCAAGAACTCAGAAATTTGTCAGAACCCTATTTTTCCATTGCTTTTTGATTCTTGGTCCATAAATTCCTTTGACAAGCCAGATTGTACCTGGGACTAAATTTTCAAATACACTCATGTTTCAGTATGTCCAGCTCTCTCAGTTGCTGAGGGTTGGACGTTTATACATTTACTCAGACCCCTGGTGCTGAAACCAGCCTGACTCATTTCATCTCCTCATGCCCTGGCTGATCTCCCCTCTTTCCCCTTCCACCCATTGGCTTTTGTCTCCCACCAGCCCCCTGTGAAGAGCCTGGCTCTGTGTTCTCCATCCCCTCCTGGCTGGCACTGCCAGGCTGGGATGAGGAGCCCCTCAGCCTTCCCTGCTCCAGGCTGGACAAGCCCAGCTCCCTCAGCCTCTGCTCACAGCCCAAGGGCTCCGGCCACACCTTGGAGGCCCTTCCCAGACCCTGCTCCAGCTGCCAGGCATCTTTCCTGCCCTGGGGAACCCAACCCAGGCCACAGTGACCTGGATAATCCCCATCCTTGATGTCCTGGTCACACAGCCCTGGCCCCTTGTCCCCTGTCAGGCTCTGGGGTGGATCCTGTGGAACATCCTTTGGTGGAGGCTGTGGCTCCAGGTGGGCTGGGGGGATCCCGGGGGACAGGGACCCAGCTGGGCATGAACAGCATTGGACTTGTTGGGAGAAACTGTGAGGGGGAGCTGGGGCAGAGTGACCAACCCAGTGACCTGACAGAGCCCTGCTGGGATGTCACACAGCCCCTCTGGGATGTCACAGCCTGCTCTGTGATGTCACAGCCCAGTCTCTAATGTCACTCAGCTGGTCTCTGATGTCACACCAGTCTGTGATGTCACAGTCTGCCATGTGATGTCACAGCTGGATATCTGATGTCACAGATATGGCCTATGATGTCATAGCTGCTCAATGACCTCACGTAATGCACTCTGTGATGTCATAGCCCACTCTGTGACCTCATGTTATCAGATGATAAATTGTCTCCACCAGCTGAGCTGACACCTGGAGCTTGTTCTCCAAAACCCCAGGCCTATGGAAACCACACAATGCCCATTGTGTGAGAAGGGGAATTGGAAGTTCAGCAGCCTCAGTGTCCTGCCAGCTCAGCCGGGCCCATGGGAACATTGGGGTACATGAGCACCAGGGACCACCAGAGAGACCCCAGGACAGAACAACACATGGGTAATGGGGAGAGGAAAAGTGGTAATGATTTTGGGGAAATTATTATCATCTGTATTTTTAGTCCAGGACAATCAATGAATTTGTGTGCAAAATACAGAAAATAAACAGAAACTTTCCTGTTCTCAGCATGCAGGGCTTTGGGAGGAGCTATCCTCTGTGCATCCAGCTGAATAAAGAATGCTGCTTCTTAATGCTATATTGGGATTAAGGAGTTATCTGTTTTTCTGAATTTTTGGTAACACTCCCACTGCCAAGGAAAGCTCTGTCTGCTGCTGTTCACAAACAGAGAAGGGCTGGTGGCAGATGTGGGGCTCGGAGGCTGCCTGGGGCACAGTGACCATGGAATAATCAAGTTTTCAATGTTCTATGAAAGAAGGAGGGGCAGCAACAAAATTTCTACACTGGAATTACAAAGGGCAGACTTTCGCCTGTTCATGATACTGATTTGGGGAGTACTAAATCAGTTACTCATTTCTTTTAAGGGAAACAGTCCTTAAAAACCAAGGGGTCCAGGAAAAATGGACACATTTCCAAAAAATCATCTTAAGTGGGAAGGAGCTGCCTGTCCCAGTGTGGCAAAAGATGAGCTAGTGAGGAAAATGGCTGTCCTGGCTGCCCATGAGCTTTTGTGGGAAGTCAGGGGAAAACAGAGGGTGCATTAACTTTGGACAGGAAGTCAGGCAACTTCGGAAGTGTTTCAGGATGTTATTAAGTCATGCAGAAAGAAAAGCAGAGATGTGAAAGTTCAATTAGAGCTTAACCAGGCCACTTCAGTGAAAAATAATGGAAAAGTTTTCTATAAATAAATTAATTATGTAAAAGTCTGGATAAAGAGAACCTCTACTCTTTATTGGATGCAGTGGGGAATATAGTATCTAAAGATAAAGAAAAGGCTGAACAGACTAACATCTTGTTTCTCTCAATTTTCAATATTAGGACAGGTTGTCCTCAGGACAAGTGTTCTCCTGAGCTGGTGGATGGGCACAAGGAGCAGAACAGACCCCTGTAATCCAGCAGGAAGCAGTTGGTGACCTGCTGAGCCTCTCAAATGCTCATAGGTGTATGGAATTGGATGGGATCAATCCCAGGGGGATGAGGGAACTGGTGGATGAGCTCCATCAAGCTGCTCTCCATCATTTACCATCAGTCCTGGCTCAGCAGGGAGGTCCCAGAGCACTGGAGGTGCCAGTGTGAGCCCATCCCCAAGAAGGGCTGGAAGGAGGAACTGGGGAACTCCAGGCCTGTCAGCCTGACCTGGGTGCCCGGCAAGGTTATGGAACAGATCACCCTGAGTGCCATCACAGGGCACCCACAGGATGGCCGAGAGATCAGAACCAGCCAGCGTGGATTTCAATATCTGCACTGATGATCTGCATGAAGGGACTGAGTCCAGCATCTGCATATTTGCAGATGACACCAAGCTGGGTGTGAGTTTGGATCTGCTGCAGGGTAGGAGGGCTCTGCAGAGGGCCCTGGAGAGGCTGGATCCAGGGCCCAAATTCAACAAGGTCAGGTTTAACATGTCCAAGTGCCAAGCCCTGCACTTTGGCCACAACAACCCCAGCAGCTCTACAGGCTGGGGACAGAGTGGCTGGACATCAGCCAGGCAGAAAGGGACCTGCAGGGACTGATGGACAGCAGGCTGGACATGAGCCAGCAGTGTGGCCAGGTGGCCAAGGAGGCCAATGGCTCCTGGCCTGGATCAGGAATGGTGTGGCCAGCAGGAGCAGGGCAGGGATTGTTCCCATGTGCTCAGCACTGCTGGGGCAGCACCTCGAGTGCTGCTTGCAGTTCTGGGCCCCTAATTTAGGAAGGACATGGAGGGGCTGGAGTGTGTCCAGAGAAGGGCAGCAAGGCTGGGGAGGAGTCTGGAGCACAAGGGCTTTGAGGAGTGGCGGAGGGAGCTGTGGTTGTTTATCCTGGAGAAGAGGAGGCTCAAGGAAGACAAGGCAGTGTCAAGGCACAGACTGGACTTGATGATCTCCAAGGTCTTTTCCAACCCTGCTGATTCTGTGACTCTCTGAAGCCACCCTTGGAGCAGTTGTAGGATGAGCCCCGGGCCTCCTCTTCAGAAGCTCCAGCAGCCCAGGTCCCTCAGCTTCTCCTGCCAGCCCCAAAGCCCATCCTGTCAGTCCTGCAGAGCCTCTGCAGCTCCTCCTCACTGCCCAGAACAGGGAGCCCCAGAGACAGACACAGCAGCCCAGATGTGCCCCCCTGGCCTGGGGTGCCTCTGGCAAGGGTGCAGCACCAGGCACTGCAGGAGCCTGCAGACAATTCCTGCAGCACTTTTAGGATGATCCTGCTGCCCAAGGGACGTTCCCATGGTGCCAAGTCAGGAACTGCAATGGGGAGTGGAGCCAGAGAGGAAAGGGCAAACAGGGATGGGCTGTTTGCAGGGGAAGGGACAGAAGTGGGCAATAGGAAGACATTTGTAGCAGGAAGAGTAAAGAAAGCAAAGGTGAAGCCAAGGAATTGCTCAGGGCAGTTTGGAGGTGGCTGCCACGCAGCCCTGGCTCTGAGCAACAGCATCTGCAGTGGGACAGGAAACTCCCAGCTGATGGGAACAAACTTGCTGGCTGACTGCAGAGGCCAGGAAAAACCTGAGTGGTTTCCCTGGTGTCCCCCAGCCCTTGCTGGCCCCAGGGCCGATGGCATTTGTGCTCCCTCAGGTTCATGTCCCCACACCAACAGCATGGGGGTGCTCCCCCTGCTGTGTGCAATGCAAACAGGGGCTGCTGAGCCAGTGCTGCCGTGTCTGTGCCTGCAAGGATGGGGCACCTGTGTGAGCTGGGGAGAGGCCAGGGCTGCAGAGGGGGGATGTTGTTGGCAGCTCCGTGAGGACGCTCTGGGACGCTGCCCTGGGCTGTGCAGTGCACTGGGGATGGATCAGCCCCTGCTCTGCTGCTTCTTCCCGTCTGCCCCATGGCCCTTGCAGAGCCCCAGTCATGCTGTTTGCCCCCAGCCGGCCCACAGCCAGCCTGGGGCTGCTCACGAGGGTTTTCTGTGCTGAGCATTGGCCTGGCTGTGTTCTTGAGAGAGCCTGGGCAAGGAGCCTGGAGCCCCCAGGCCCTGGCCTGAGGCATCAGCGCAGCCCCAGCAGTGCCCATGGCCTGTCCCTGCTGCGGCCCTGGCACTGCCACCCCCAGGGCTGTGCCCGGCCCCGAGAGCACTCAGGCCCTACAGCAACACCAGGGCCACCTGGGCAGCAGGGCAGGGCCACGGCAGCAGCACTGGCAACACCAAGTGCTGCTGCTGCTGGGCCCAGCTGCTGGGCCAGCACTGATCTGCCCCCAGCTCTGCACACAGACATTGCTGCTGCAGCTCCAGAGAAGGCAACAAAAGGGCATCTCTGCAGAAAACTCTGCTGGGAGATCATTTAGTTCCTTTAAAGCCACTGAGAGTGCAGCCCCTCATTGACACAGTCTGTGGCCACAGGGAATGTGGAGAGAAACAAAATGAGAAATGGCACAAGCAATGACATTTATTTTTTTAAAATATGTAAAACTAAAACAAGGGAAAAAAATCCCCACAACCAAACCAAGAAGAAGTATGAAAGATTACTTTTATTACAAGTTATTTGCAAAAATTGTCCAGCAATTTACTGTCCCTGAAAGCATGCAGTCATCAATCTCCAAACTGCAGCCTTGAGCTCCTGGTTCCTCAGGCTGTAGATGAGGGGGTTCAGGGCTGGAGGCACCACCGAGTACGAAACTGAAAGAACCAGATTGAGGGATGGGGAGGACATGGATGGGGGCTTCAGATAGGAAAATATGATAGTGCTGAGGAACAGGGAGACCACGGCCAGGTGAGGGAGGCAGGTGGAAAAGGCTTTGTGCCATCCCTGCTCAGAGGGGATCCTCAGCACAGCCTTGAAGATCTGCACATAGGAAAATACAATGAGCACAGAACATCCCAGTCCTAAGGAGATGGAAAACACTAGAAATCCAAGTTCTCTGAGGTACAAATTGAAGCAGGAGAGCTTGAGGATCTGTGGGATTTCACAGAAGAACTGGCCTAGGGCATTACCATGGCACAGGGGCAGGGAAAATGTACTGGCTGTGTGCATGAGAGCAGTGAGAAAGCCACTGGCCCAGGCAGCTGCTGCCATGTGGGCACAAGCTCTGCTGCCTAGGAGGGTCCTGTAGTGCAGGGGTTTGCAGATGGACACATAGCGGTCGTAGCACATGACAGTCAGGAGAGAAAACTCTGTTCCAATGAAGAACACAAAGAAAAAGAGCTGTGCAGCACATCCTGTATAAGAGATGTCCCTGGTGTCCCAGAGGGAATTGTGCATGGCTTTGGGGACAGTGGTGCAGATGCAGCCCAGGTCAGCGAGAGCCAGGTTGAGCAGCAAGAAGAACATGGGCGTGTGCAAGTGGTGGCCGCAGGCTACGGCGGTGATGATGAGGCCGTTGCCCAGGAGGGCAGCCAGGGAGATGCCCAGCAAGAGGCAGAAGTGCAGGAGCTGCAGCTGCCGCATGTCTGCCAATGCCAGCAGGAGGAAGTGCCTGATGGAGCTGCTGTTGGACATTTGCTGTGCCTTGACATGGGGATCTGTAAAAAATGTAATAATGGATTAGCTGGGTTTGGAGAGGACTTTAAATATCCCAGCACAACCTGGGGGCACTTTACTTTCCCCCCACTCCCTGCCCAGGGCTCTGCTGCCTGGAGCTGTCCCTGCCTGCAGCTGCTTCCCTGTGCCCAGGGTTGGGCCCTGCCAGTGCTGCCAGAGCCCAGCCCAGCCCTGGGGGCTCAGCTCTGCCCTGCAGACCCCTCCCATCTCAGGCACTGGCCAGGGGCAGCTGTGGCTCTGCAGAGCCATCAGAGCAACTCTGAGGGGGCTGGAAAAGCGTCATTGATGCTGCCTCTGAGTTGTCCTGTGCTAATTTCTCTAACTGCCTGATTTCGAATGATTTCAGAAAAAAAATTTCTCACCCTGAACTGAGAGATAAATATTGATGTGCAATTTCTCACTCAGACAACCCAGAGCAGTAGATTAATAAAGCAGGATTTCCCCTTGCATGCAGTCCCTGACTCAGTGTGCTCCCTGTATAATCTACTTTAAAATGTTCTGCAGTTAAATGCCATACTGGGAGCAGTCCTGATCAATGCAGCATCCTCCCCACACAAGGAGAACACTTCCAAGCCTTACCAGCTCTCTCCTTTTACACAGATCTTGTCTCCCAGTGCTGGGAGCAGCTGCCAGGGCTGGCTGAGAGCTGTCCCTGGCAGGCAGCAGAGTCCCTGCCCCAGCACAGCGCCCTAGGCTGCAGGACCCTGCTCTGCAGGACAGCCCTGGGCACCCCTGGCTGCTCGGCACAAGAGACAATCAGAGAATGTACTCACAGGGTCTGCAGGCATTGGGATGTTGCAGCTTTAGGAGATGGCTCCAGGAGCTGCAGCTGCATTGTCCTGCAACCAGAGGTTCCTGTGCCAAGGGCTGGCAGTGATTCTGCCCCAGGCACTTCTCAGCACCTTCCCAGCCCTGACTGATTGAAGATCTCTGTGCCTCTGTGCTGTGCCTGGGGTGGCTGCAGGCAGTGCCCCAGCCCTGCTGGGCTGGCAGAGCTGCTCATCAAGAGAAATGTGCTTTTGAAGCTCTTCTTGGTTACCAGGAGCTACCTCTGTGCCAGGCTCAGCTTAGCAGCACAGACACAGGACAAAGACTTTATGAGCCTCTGGGGCTTTGTGCTCAGGCCCTGAACATCAGTCCCTGAGAGGGAGCTGAAGAAACCTCTCCAGAACTCCAAGTCAGAATCCAACTCCAAAGTTTCTTGGACTTTTAATGGGTCCCACTGAGGGACACAACTGAGAAAGTGTCCCCAGGCCCCAGGCAGAGCATTGAACTGGAGGCACTGATGACAGGTGAGGATAAAGAGAAGTCAAGTCTTGGTGCCCTGGGGCACAGCAGCAGGGTCTGTGCCACCAAGGGCTGGAAGGAAACACCTTGTCCTGAGGCCCTGGGGCCTCCTGGCACAGCCCCAGCCAGGCTGGGCACTGTCAGCCTCTTGTCCTGCCCTCAGCTTCCCCCCTAGCCCACATTCCAGTGGCTTCAAGGATCTGCTGGAAGGAGTCCCTGGGGAGCCTTGCTCAGCAATGGCCCTGGGGGCTCCTGAATACTCCCAAGGACTGCAGGTTTTTCAAAGGACTTTGGGTTTGGCTTTTGCCTTGGAGTCTCTGAGAGGTTTGTGCAATCATGGCCTCCAATTATCTGCTGTAATTAATCCCTGGAGAGGCTTTGTCAGTAACAGCTCTCAGTGGGGCTCATTAATGCTTCAAGGTACTTCAGTTATTTTAAGGTATTTGGTGTTTCCCTTTTGATCCAGACTCTGTGAGAGGTTTCTGCAATCATGGCCCCAATTATCTGCTTTAATGAGTCCCTTGAGAACTTTGTACTGACACTCAGTGGGGCTCATTATTGTTTTGAGATACTCAAGGTTTTTAAGATACTTTATGGATTTAAGAATACTTTAAGGTACTTTTAAGGATTTTCCTTCCCACACTGAGTCTCTGAGAGGTTTTTGTGCCATCCTGGCCTCCAGTTCCCTCCTCCATGGAGTCCATGATGAGCCTGTGTTGGGTATCTTTCTCTGTTCTGCTTTACAACAAAGATGGAACTGAAAGAATTTTGTAAGATTTCCAAAAGCATCCAAACATGGGACAATTAACCATACAGCAATCACTAAGAGAACGAATAGTCCTGTTTTAGCTCGACATCATCAAACCCTTTAGTCCCTTGGATTGGAAGAGTTTATTGACCTTGTCTTTGTTTTCCACGTGAAGCTTCTTGAACCCTTCCTTCAGTACTTGAATGCTTTTGTGGATTGACTCGCTTTGGCTGGAAAGGTTCTTACCACACAGCTCTCAGAGTCTACACAGCCATGCCCATGTGCCCAGAGTAAAAACTCTATCGCTATTCTGCAAGGTGGCATGTCTGATGGTCTCTATGTCTGAGAGCAGGCCACTCAGTGTGAGGGAGGTAGCATTGGTTTGCTTACTTAACAGGCACCCAAGATGGTCTAATTGTCCTAAAGCTTTAGCTGCAGCCACCCAAGGTAGTCCACATTGGGGGTACTACGATAACTGGATTAAAGCTTTCAAAGCCATCTCTTTGATATCATCCAATACTTCTCTGGCGATACCTACTGCTTGATCATCTGGTAGGCTGTGTTGTCCTTCTCCACCTAGATGGTTGATTGTCAATTCCGCCCTTGCCTCATTATTAGCATAGTCTGCTATTAATTGATTTAGTAAACACTTCCATCCCCCTTCCCACAGGATGTATTCTGTAGGTGACAGCAACATGGTCATATAACATTTTAAATCATAGGGGGTTAAGACATGTGCTGTAAACATGGTCCTCATTAGGCCATTAAAAGACGGTAAGTTCTTCCTATGGTCTTTAGCTGCCCTACACAGATCCTTGATTTCCCCATAAACCAGTGGCTGATACCTGGGATTCTGCCTCCTTCTTTCATAACATATGGGGGAATTTCAAGACCATATGCCAGTCTTCTTACTTTCCCAGGGATCTTCCAGGGTTGAGGGGCAAGGTGGCTCTGAGGAATCCAAACTGTAAACTGTCCTTCGGGGGAGGAAGAATAACTTAGAGGAGAAACATTTGGATTAGAAATAGTGTGACAGTTGGGCTTAGTACCTTGAGCATGGGGTTATATTGTTGCCGGAGGGTGATGCAAAGGGCACTGCCATTTTGTCAGGTGTTGGGAAGGAAGGGCCTTGATCTAGGATGGCGGACTTCTGATGTGGCCTTCTAGAAGCATGGCCCAAAGTGAAGGTGGAATGATTGAAAGTGGGGGCGTGACCCACATTCATGGGGGTGGAGTCTGGAGGTTCATTTAGGGCGGAAGAGAAGGTTGTGGTAGCAGGAAGTGGAGGAGCCAAGATGGAGGGAGGACAGTCGGGTTCAGGGGCATCTGGAAAATTTTTAATGATCCACTTCACGATTGAATTTAATTTTTTCTTTGAAGATATTTAGTCATGATCAGTGAGAATTAACTTAAAGCATCGATCTACACACCTTTCTACTTTGGACATCCGGCTGCCCATTTTTCTCTTTCTCCACCTTAGGTGGAACCGCCACTGGAACACCCCAAATGAGTTATGGGATGTGGGTGTGTATTGTAAAATCAGAGTGGCAAAATGGGCAATAATTGTCCTGCGTTTCCCCAAACCCATCTGCAATCCTACGCAGGTGAAACTGTCGTTGTCCCTTGTGGATCCTGGCCGAGGTCCCTCAAAGCAATGATGAATCTGCCCGCCCGGCACAATCCAAAATCCCAGGGAGCGCTGACCTATCCATCAGGTAACCCCAGCTGACATGATTCAATGTCAGGGTCCCTGTTTGGGTGCCAAAAGACGCAATGAGGGTGGCTGTGACAAACCTTTCTGATTCCCCAACTTCAGGGCAAGGGGGGTGAAAATGAAAAGAAGCAGATGCTGGGGAAGATGAAACAGGAAAGCCTTATAAATATGATTGCCTGGCAAAAGATTTTGAGAATATGGAAACTATACGTGAGATTGAAATGAAAGCAAGCTTTGAAATACCAAGCCTTAGTTACTGAACAACTGGAAAACCATGGTATGACTGGCTGAAGGTAATCCTCTTTTGATGAAACAAGACCCTCTGCTTGCAGACAGGTCCAAGGGTCAGAGCAGACCCTACTAGCTTGAAAGAAGGGGTCCAAAGAGTAATTTTTAGGGTTTAAAATGTAACACAGTATGGCAGTGTAAAGTTTCTTACAGGCTGTATGTAAATGCTGTAAGATTTGTATCTTGTACTACATTGGTTAGTGAAAATTAGAATATGCGGCACAGAAGATGATTTATTGTATTGTAACGGGAACTCCCCTCCTCTTTTGGGCATCCATTTTGGGCGCCTCTTTCAATCTCCTCTTTCAGGCAAGCTCCGAGCAGTGGCTGGCACCTCCTGACAAGGCCCCTGCACCCACACCTGTTGGGATCTCTAGCTGGTTAGAGTGACCCTGAGAAAAGTTCAAAGGTTTCTTTTCCCAGCCCAGCGCTTGAAGAAGGAGTCTTCAAGAAGGGCTCTTCATTTCTCCATCTTAAGGTCGTTTATTTTATATTATCTATAAAAAATTTTCTCCTGCCCTGCTGAGGTCAGCTTAGCAAGACTGTCCAAGGCATTCTGCCTGCCCCCGGGATGGTGTTATGTCTTTATACTAAAAACTACGTGTACAATGTTTACAATAACTTTCCAAAACCTATCACCTATGTTAGACAGTGAGCTTCTGCTCTAAACCAATCTGTAAGTGCCAACATCACAGCAGAAGATGGAGGCCAAGAAGAAGAAGGAGAAAGGCTGGATACACCCAGTTCCCTCCATCTTGCCTCCTGAACCCTGAGACAGAGTAGAGATCCATTCTGAATTAGGTGAAGTGTCTAAGAGAGGTGAAAAGTCTGTGAGGCCAAAGCTGAAGGAAAAGTCAGATGCCGGAGACAGCAAGACGACAGAGAAAGAAAAACAGAAATGACCACAAGGTCAATTTGCCC